CAGACGATAATGACATTTCAACACTATCCGTATTACTTTGCTCTGACTTGTCTATGATTTATTGTGAATCCCAAGAAAGTTAATAATACTGTCTGAACAAAAATCGCACAACAGTTATATATATATTTATTCAGTACCATTGGCCATAGGCCATAATGTACACGCTTAAATGTAACACAAATAAATAAATAGATCGTTTGACAAGAATAATCGCTGCTACTGCTTGTCTGAATATTACAAACTTATACTTCACCTATGAATACCAAATTAAATTTATATTTCAGTTAAATTTCCCTCCAACAAACTATGACGTTTTTGTAAAGAGTAGAATGCGTATTTTGCAAGATTTTGTATTGTATGTGTATTTTCAGATTGCAGTAGCAAAATAAATTTCTTTCAATCGCACAACAGTTATAATTACGTCGATTGGTTTTTAAGGGCAAGGTTTAATGAGGGAAATATGTCTGTCTACATTGTTGTTCAATCATCTTTGATCACCCTTACCGGTAATAAATCACTAAGTGAAGTGCACCACTTATGGCCAAACATTGTCTTTGTTGTTTACTTACCTCAACCATTGCTACAACTGGCATTATAAATAGTGCAAAATGAAATGAGTTTAGAGTAAATAAATTTTAAATGATGATTTTCAGTAAGAATAGACAAGCTCCTGGGTGTGTTCTCTAGTTGCTAGGTTCTTGAGCTCGCAAGTGAAGGGGAGGGGTTTACAGCTAGTCGTTGCTAGGTTCTTGAGCTCACAAGTGAAGGGGAGGGGTTTACAGCTAGTCGTTGCTAGGTTCTTGAGCTCACAAGTGAGGGGGAGGGGTTTACAGCTAGTCTTCTGACAGCCAGTTTATCTTACAAAGATATATACTGATACCAAAAGGATATAAATTATATTTTGTCCAACTTCATTGTGTGTGTGTATGAATGTAAAACATGTTTTCTATTTTTCGTGAGAAGTTTGTAAACTTTCAAAGGTAATGTGGGGGACTAAAATACAGTATTAACATGCTCGGAACAAAATGGAATCCAGTATGGTAAAATATCTGCCCAATACTGTGTACCGGGGGTATTTTTGCTGGCCCAGAGTGTTGATTTCCACCCTTTGTTTTGTACACAGGGAAGCTAAGCAATCAGGAAACTCAAAACTTGTCTATTGTATGTCAGATGAATGAGTATATCCACTTTTTATTTCTTCCTCTCAATGTTTATTACTGGGGCTTCCCCTATTTTATTTTTATATAAACTTACTTTTACACAACCAAGTTTTCTTAGTTGTCTTGGCAACCAGTCATCGGACCTGACATTACTTTGCATCATGGCATTCATGTTTTTCAACAGAGTGGTGAGTATTTCAATATCATCTATAAATCTACTACTATTTCTTGTATGATGTGTTTTTATGTTTTTATTTTTGTGTTAATTTTAATCCTAGTGATACATGTAGTCTTATAGTTATACTCCGTCAAAAAAAGTGTGTACATTATAAATACAAAGTTACATAAATCTTTTGAGCAAGACTGATTTCAACTGAGACTGGTTTTTAAATTATAATCATGTCATTCCTGACTGTGGTGGATATTATTATTAATCTATTAGAAGCGCATATACCAAAAAATGCATTTGTTATGGAATGAGTTCACCAAAATAACTTTGACCTTAGAAACACCTCAGTCTGTGATTCCCGAAAGCACATGCGCTCCCAATGTAGTAAAGATGTTATTTATTTCTTTGTTCAGTTGTTATTCGTTGGAAATTGAAAATAAGTGCTTTCATTGTTTGGTTTTCTGTATGTGGAGGTAAAAGCATGGAGAGCATAAATATCTGTTGGTGCGTACCAGGTATACATTATATAATCCTATTATGTACTAGTACGTGTTCAGTATTGAGGTTTTTTTTTATTCATAGAAAGTTATCTTACAATACATATTAGCTTATCTCCATGGGCTAGTTGAAGAAATCAAGAATGATAAAAAAGATGATATCAAAATTCCTTAAGAAGAAAATATCTCAGCAAGGCAGGAAATGCTGTCAT